ACTGAGGATGCAAAGCGAACTTAACTAAGTATCACGCGAAAAATGAATTCGCCATTGATAAATTGTATGGCTGAATCTGTCCACTATTCTTAGTCAAACGGCCCCTCATCCTGTTAAAGATCGCCCGGGTCTCCTTGTCCAAGATTCCCAGAAAATTGGGATCATTGTGGATGCTGTTGTACGACAGCTGAATCCCCATCATGAGGGCAGGAACAGAGGAAAATGGAGCTCGTTCATTAATAGGCTCTGGAAGCTTATTACCTTTCTTCAACCCCCTCCAGTAGCAAAATTCAATCTCCTCGTACTGCACTCTGAGAGCATCAACAGGAACGAAATTTAGCTTGCTTCTTTCTCTCTCAACGTAGATTAGTTCCTGCTAATTTGAAGCTCCATCTTCCGGGGTTGTGGAGAACACTGAATCTCGCTTTTGGAAGATGTGAAATTCATTCCAGTTTGCTTTTTTTTCCCCCATCCCCTGGGTAGCCACTCCTGGGGGCTTTTCGGAGGAAAGAGACCAACCATGAGAAAGCTATTAACTCGTACGTGACGAAAAGTGGCTTTTTGTTTGTTTGTGATGTACCATTTCGCCATGAAAAGTACAATTAGCTGTCGTTTAATTAGGCTTAGGGAACTTGCTCCGGTACCGTCCCCCAGTGTTGCCGGATACCGGGCCGAAATTACGCCAGATTCAAGACTAATTCAACATTCGTATCGGCGTCTGGATCCTCTGTTTTTTTTATGTATGAGACATTTTCGTGCTGCGTTCATGACTTAACACATTCACGCCCAGCGACTCAAGAACAGTATGAGTTTTAAAGTGTAATATTACGGTTCCCGGCGTCAACGTGTTAAGATGAGAATGAAGCGATGGTTAGCAATGATTAATCGATGTGGTGGGACATCGAGTTGTCATCCGTCCAGTCTGCACGACAACGTTGACTCAACATTGATAATATGTTGACGATATTGAGAGGGTGTTGATGTTGATGATTCAATACATAGTCAACGTTACATGAACATATGTCGAGCGAGACATCCGGCTGGATATTCAAACAAAGGAGGTTTCTTGATCCTGATATGAGATGACGCCAAATTGATAACACAGAGAGTGACCACATACATGCAACTGGCACGCGTCCCTAGTACTTTTGAAACGGTACTTAATATTTTCTCCATAGAGAGCACCGGAAAAGGTATTTGAATTCCTGGAAACATTCGACAAAAGAGGCAATACAACTAAATGGGATCCTCGGTAATTCTGGCCCGGGGAACGTAACGAACAAAGTTTATATGCGGATCTGACTCCATTAGAACACTTCTCGCAACTGTGATAAATATACTTATTTAAACCATGGTCGGGGGTTCGTGAGGAAGAATTCACGGAGTGATTGGCAGTTAAGATAAGCACCTGTTTCTGGCCGGTCTCCGACCAGAGTTGTTGGCCAGTAAGGCTTAAATTCAGTATAATTATTCTGGCCGTTTCCAGGCATTCTATCAACATCTTCACGTTCGAGCACCTATTACTAGTGTTGCCCGGTGTGCGCACATGGTGTCCACTTCCTATGGGAGTCGTATCAGCGTGGCCAAAAACTGGGGTGTTTACCATAGAGTAGAAAGTGTAACTAGAGGCGACACCCGAGTGGCAGGGGAGGGTCGAAATATTACAGAGACATCTGGTGGCTTGTTATCAACAACACTTCCATGAGGCGTGCTTCGTGGCAGCGGAATTGGGAATCGACTCGTTCGGGGATTCGGCCCAAAAGGATCCTTTAACGTAACAAACGTGTCTCGTTGAATCCACCGCTCGGCCATGGAGGAGTCGTTGAGGTGCGCCCGCCAGGTGGAGGATCGACAGCGACATCTATATTGCGACCCTGTCAATGAATGGGATTCGAGCGGAGTGGAAGCCTTTAGTTATACTCTCTACTCTATGGTGTTTACCCTATATCATCTCTGACTGGAACGTCCTTATCTGATATCGGCATAAGACCTATGTCTAGATGGGAAAAGGAGTTGGGATCACGTTGTTGGTTCATGGAATGCTTCAGTAATCAAATGGCGTAAGCGAATTCGTCCGCATATGCCATTTAATCGGCTCATGCGCAGTGCATGTTGAAAATTTGTTGAGACTTGTCTCATTTCATCTTTGAGCCAATGCTTCTATCAACATTCTTCAACCTTGACTCAACATTGTGGATGTTGAGACTTCAATGCTTTTACAACGTTGTACCAACATTGATGTGCAGACTGGACGGACATCCCCGCATTAACAGGATGGCGCGCGCCATGAATTACGTGTTACTTGGAAGCATTCCCTCCTCAGACTTATTCGAGATGGCTCGAGGAACTCTAGACAGGCCTAAGGTTCCGCGCCAGTGGTTCATGAAACGCGAAACAGGTCTCAGATTAGTCTAACATTATACGTCCTCTGTGAAATGGTTCGTGAAATTATGATTAGGCCAGCGATTGGTCTAACGTTATACGTTCTCCACGAGATGTCTCGAGACATCGGATTCACCCTTGCAGGTCTAATTGACCTCGTTAGTCGAGAATTGAGTTTCTTTGGGAAAAAAGTAGGCCTTTGCGTGACCAGAAGGCAGTCTGTTTGTTAGACCTGGGCCTAACGTTAGCGAGTCTGAAGAGGGGGGGTGGGGGATTAAAGAAAGGGAAAGCCATTGAAAATTGGTTTTCACATTACTTCATTACTCTATCTTTCCCATCCGATGACAGATCTTGCACATTCCAGTCATCCATCTTCTGGGGTAATGCGGCTTTGGGCGTTCGCACTTATCATCCATGGTTTCTTCACCGGCGTCGTCTCGAAAGTTGGAAACCATCGACTTAGGAGCGTTGGAAGCCTGGCTCGTGAGTCGTCATCATTCAAAAGTCGTCGTCAAAGAACATGGTTGAGCGAATGCAGGCAAAGTCAGCGGAATCTTAAGTGTAAAGAAAATAAAGATTCTAAATCAAGTTTGTTATTCCAATAATAGAATTTCAAGTCTTATTGAGAAAAGTAAGCGTTACCGTTTATCTTACCTTGATGATAACAGTGCGAACACTATTGTCTCAAATGTACACCCAGAAAAGAATAGTACATGCGAAACGATTCCGGAATGATTTGTAGTATTGCAGGCAGAAGGAGGAATTAGGAGCAATAATGGACAATCCATATTTGAGAGCGGACAGGACATCGAGCTCCTCTGCACCTTGACAGACGCTGGATTGAATGAGGGACTGAAAACAAGTGACCTCCGATTCGAGATACCCTCTGGTGACGTCGTAAAGCCTAACTACACGTCGAATAACACAACGGTGTCGTTGATCATCGTTAATGCGACTGCATCTGCTTCTGGTCGGTACTATTGCGGGAACGTTTCAGGCGACGAGAAGTTTTCCATTCTTCACACAGTGCCCTTGGAAATAGACTGTAAGATGCATTTCCTTTTCGACGGTTTCTTTTGCTTCAGTAATAAGTAAGGTGATGTGGTAGTGACAGTTCCCCCTCTGGCGCTGAACTCCTGGCGTTGTTGGTCGATACAGTTAGACCGATTTTATTGCCATTGGACAGAACCAGAGAATCCCGTTTGGACGAATTTCTCTTTCTACATCCAGACCGATGGGTAATTGTACATGATGCCCATAAATTATATGAAAATTTTTGTGACTTCACTGTTTCGAAATTTCGTAGGCAAGAACATTCGAACTTGCCACTCTCGTAGGAAATATGATCGCGTTTTTTACCACAAAGTTTCAGAAATTTCCGATGTGGATTCCGCCAGTCACACGGCAAGTGTCATATTAGTACTTGATCTCGTTCCAAATTCGGTAGGGTATGTTTGGCATGACTATCGCGATTGCTACCACACTTAGGTACCTAAGTTCCTCAAATTTTTTTAGCGAGGATGGGACGTACACGTGACCTTTCACCCACACCCACGCGGAAAAATCCAATGGAGTCTGGTCAGGAGACCTCGGTGGCCAAGGAATGGGAGCACCTCTACCGCTCCACTTCCCGGGACAAATCTCGGTGAAAACGATATCACAAGAGTTACGGAAATGAGGGGGTGCGCCGTCGCGTGAAAAAGAAACACTGTTTATAAGGATGTCTTACTGACGCTGGAGCGAGAGAAAAAGGAAAGCATGTGGAGATGCATTATACCGGTCATAGTGTTTTCAACAAAGAAGAAGGGGCCGTAAACCAAGAAAGTTGGTGGCTCGCTCGGCGGGCATTTCTTGAGAAAGCCCTTCGAATCGCCTCCACAATCTCCGCATTGACGCTCGGTCGCCCAGCTCCTTTCCATTGACACAGACATACAGTATCCATCAATTTCTTGCACCACTCGTAAATGGAGGTTCTCAAGGGAGGATACCTGTCAAAATCAGTTTTGAACTTCCTCTGCACTGCTTTTGCACTTTTGATGTTATGCTTTTTGTCGGGCGGAGGTCATTTTTTTTAAGCTAACGAAGGGCGCGCAACATAAATTTGTTAGAGCGACCGACAAACCAATAAAAACTTAATATTCCTAGTAAATGTGTAAAATTTTATGTTCTTGCTTTTATGGTTTGGGAACGGTGACGTCAGAAAATTGTTCAGGTAATTTATGGATAACATGTATTCCAAATGATCTATTTACTCTTCATGCCCTTCTTAGTTCTGTGTTTCCCACGATATTGATGTGTTAAAAGGACGAAGATGACAGAATGCCGGCAGAAGGACCCTTATGTAACGGAATGCGAGGCGAATAAAGGCCAGACTCCTCCATATCGTCCGGGTGAGACAGAAACGAACATCACAGTGAAAGCCCAGAATGTGCTCGGCCATACAGTCTTCACTTATCCCTTCGATCACTACCGGAACAGTGAGTCATTTGCAATTGATAGCATTCTCCTTCGCTGAAAAGTGATGAGCGTTCGACCAAACAGGTAGAAATGCAGTTTCCCCCCCCCCCCCCATCAAAATCGAGCTTATTTGAATAATTAAATCCAGCTTTAGAATGTCTTTTTAGTTTCACATTTGGACCTAATCCAGTTGCAAAACCGTTGCTGAACCTTCAGAGAGTATCATTAATCATGCAATTTCAGCAGCGGTGCTTGAAAGGTGGATTGTCATGTTAGGGTTTGACATGTCCTACCTGAACCTGAAGAGACCTAGATATTGCTTTTAAATATTCTTTTCCACTTAACCAGCCACCTTTTTTCTTTTCAACCTGACATTATGTCTAATTTATTTTATGGATATCCACTCAATTTAACTCTAAATTATTTTTCTATGCATCCTCCTCAGGAAAGTCTGAAATTATATCACGATTAATATTATTCGGTTTACAAGGTATTCCAAGAAATTTATCGAATTTCTTTCAAGCCAAACTTCCCATTTCCGGAAGAAATGAAGTTCCAGTATTCAGTCTCATGGTCAATTGTTTGACGATTTGAAGATCCAATCAGCAGACTTCAACTGGAACCAAGCACGAAAACAAACCTTCAGGCGCATAGCAGAATTGCTGGGGATTGAATGAATACCTAATATTATTCCAATTTTTTCAGATATCCATGGCGATAGACTAACAATCATGTTAATTGGCTGTTGCTAAATTGCCTGCACCCGCCCCTCAATGTTTTAGCGCTCTCGGTTGTCAAAAGTGTAGTGGTCTACGTACTTGTTGAGGTCAATGGCTCCAGATGAGTCGGCATGCGAATCATTTTGAGTCGGTATGAAAATGATAGCTTTTCTGAATGCCGAGCAACACTAATGATCATCAGACTGTTGCTGGCCAATGTTTATTTGCTGCCATAACTATAGTTAAGATCGAGACATTGGAGAATGTTGCCCTGGAGACGGTGGACGCAGAGACAATGGAACTTACCTGGGATATTCCACTNCAATCCATATTTGAGAGCGGACAGGACATCGTGCTCCTCTGCACCTTGACAGACGCTGGATTGAATGAGGGACTGAAAACAAGTGACCTCCGATTCGAGATACCCTCTGGTGACGTCGTAAAGCCTAACTACACGTCGAATAACACAACGGTGTCGTTGATCATCGTTAATGCGACTGCATCTGCTTCTGGTCGGTACTATTGCGGGAACGTTTCAGGCGACGAGAAGTTTTCCATTCTTCACACAATGCCCTTGGAAATAGGCTGTAAGATGCATTTCCTTTTCGACGGTTTCTTTTGCTTCAGTAATAAGTAAGGTGATGTGATAGTGACAGTTCCCCCGCTGGAGCTGAACTCCTGGCGTTGTTGGTCGATACAGTTAGACCGATTTTATTGCCATTGGACAGAACCAGAGAATCCCGTTTGGACGAATTACTCTTTCTACATCCAGACCAATGGGTAATTGTACATGATGCCCATGAATTATATGAAAATTTTTGTGACTTCACTGTTTCGAAATTTCGTAGGCAAGAACATTCGAACTTGCCACTCTCGTAGGAAATATGATCGCGTTTTTTACCACAAAGTTTCAGAAATTTCCGATGTGGATTCCGCCAGTCACACGGCAAGTGTCATATTAGTACTTGATCTCGTTCCAAATTCGTTATGTTTGGCATGACTATCGCGATTGCTACCACACTTAGGTACCTAAGTTCCTCAAATGTTTTTAGCGAGGATGGGACGTACACGTGGCCTTTCACCCACACCCACGCGGAAAAATCCAATGGAGTCTGGTCAGGAGACCTTGGTGGCCAAGGAATGGGAGCACCTCTACCGATCCACTTCCCGGGACAAATCTCGGTGAAAACGATATCACAGTTACGGAAATGAGGGGGTGCGCCGTCGCGTGAAAAGAAACACTGTTTATAAGGATGTCTTACTGACGCTGGAGCAAGAGAAAAAGGAAAGCATGTCGAGATGCATTATACCGGTCACAGTGTTTTCAACAAAGAAGAAGAGGCCGTAAACCAAGAAAGATGGTGGCTCGCTCGGCGGACACTTCTTGAGAAAGCCCTTCGAATCGCCTCCACAATCTCCGCATTGACGCTCGGTCGCCCAGCTCCTTTCCATTGACACAGACATACAGTATCCATCAATTTCTTGCACCACTCGTAAATGGAGGTTCTCAAGGGAGGATATCTGTCAAAATCAGTTTTGAACTTCCTCTGCACTGCTTTTGCACTTTTGATGTTATGCTTTTTGTCGGGCGGAGGTCATTTTTTTTAAGCTAACGAAGGGCACGCAACATAAATTTGTTAGAGCGACCGACACACCAATCAAAACTTAATATTCCTAGTAAATGAGTAAAGTTTTATGTCCCCGCTTTTATGGTTTGGGAACAGTGACGTCAGAAAATTGTTCAGGTAATTTATGGATAACATGTATTCCAAATGATCTATTTACTCTTCATGCCCTTCTTAGTTCTGTGTTTCCAACGACATTGATGTGTTAAAAGGACGAAGATGACAGAATGCCGGCAGAAGGACCCTAATGTAACGGAATGCGAGGCGAAGAAAGGCCAGACTCCTCCATATCGTCCCGGTGAGACAGAAACGAACATCACAGTGAAAGCCCAGAATGTGCTCGGCCAAAGTGTCTTCACTTATCCCTTCGATCACTACCGGAACAGTGAGTCATTTTTAATTGATAGCATTCTCCTTCACTGAAAAGTGATGAGCGTTTGTCCAAACAGGTAGAAATGCATTTTTTCCCCACATCAAAATCGAGCTTATTTGAATAATTAAATCCAGCTTTAGAATGTCTTTTTAGTTTCACATTTCGACCTAATCAAGTTGCAAAACCGTTGCTGACCCTTCAGAGAGTATCATGCAATCATGCAATTTCAGCAGCGGTGCTTGAAAGGTGGATTGTCATGTTTGGGTTTGATATATCCTACCTGAACCTGAAAGAGACCTAGATTTTGATTATAAATATTCTTTTCCACTTAACCAGCTACCTTTTTTCGTTTCAACTTGACATTATGCCTCATTTATTTTATGGACATCCACTCAATTTAACTCTAAATTATTTTTCTATGCATCCTCAGGAAAGTCTGAAATTATTTTACGATTAATATTATTCGGTATACAAGGTATTCCAAGAAATTTATCGAATTTCTTTCAAGCCAAACTTCCCATTTCCGGAAGAAATGAAGTTCCAGTATTCAGTCTCAAGGGCAATTGTTTGACAATTTGAAGATCCAATCAACAGACTTCAACTGGAACTAAGCACAAAAACAATCCTTCAGACGCATTGCTGGGGATTGAATGAATACCTTGTATTATTACAAATTTTCCAGATATCCATGGCGATAGACTAACAATCATGTTATTTGGCTGCTGCTAAATTTCCTGCACCCGCTCGTCAATGTTTTAGCGCACTCGGTTGTCAAAAGTGTAGTGGTCCACGTACTTGTTGAGGTCAATGGCTCCAGATGAGTCGGCATGCGAATCATTTTGAGTCGGTATGAAAATGATAGCTTTTCTGAATGCCGAGCAACACTAATGATCATCAGACTGTTGCTGGCCAATGTTTATTTGCTGCCATAACTATAGTTAAGATCGAGACATTGGAGAATGTTGCCCTGGAGACGGTGGACGCAGAGACAATGGAACTTACCTGGGATATTCCACTTGGATTAGCGCTTTACAACGTCTCCATCGTCCACGCCATCCAATTGACACACAGCTGGGAGGACGAACTCCATTCTGCTGGAGTACGTGAACTCGCCCATTACTCTCGTCCGGAAGTGACGTAATAGGGAGATGAGTTTACCGATTGGTTACATCGAATCTGAACGTGGGAAGTGATCAATCAGACCGCTCTCCTTGTTGTCATCATTCCAGTCTCTTCTGATACTTGTTTTATTAGCGTGAGAGATACATATTGTAAATGATTTGTGAGTGTCCATTCCCCCTTGTATAATATATGCTTTCTCTAAACGAATATTCTGTACGTAATTGAAGTATTGGAAGAGAGGAAGACCAAATATCTCGAAGCCAGAATTGTAGGAGCGCCTGGATCAGAAAGTCCTCTAACTGGTTTGGATATGACAATGTGCATAGCAACGTGAAATATGTTTTATGCTATCTTAGACTTCACCTTAATGATTCCCAGAAAAAGAATGTGCGGTTGTTAACAAAGGGGTAACGAATGAAGATATCGATTGATTAAGAATCGAAAAACGCACGTACTGGTTAAGGATGTCGAAAGGAAATGGAGAGGGTGGAGGAGTGAAATTCCATTCGTAGTGGTTAAAATCGGGAATGTTTTAGAGCAGAGATGATTTGCAAACTTTTTATTCCGCTCCCCATAAACCCCCTCACTGTTATGCCCGAGAAATTCTCGGGCTTCTCTGGTAGCGTGTCAGAAAAATTGTCGATGAAAGGGTTAACCTCGTAATTAAAGTTCTGGATCAAATGGACCCTGACACAAAAACTTAGTCATTTTCGTAGGCTACACTTCAAACTTGTTAAGTCCGATACTCCGAGAACTTCCATGAAGACATGGGACAGTAATTATGCAACCTATTTTGAAACGAGGTTCTTTGGGAATGAAGAGATTAGACTTGAAATAAGCAAATAACCATTTGTTCTGATAGTTACAGGGTTAAGAAAAGACCTTTTCATCGCGATGAACACCGACGGACAAGGGATGGGGGTAATCATCGTTTGCTGATTTAAAACTGTATATTTTGCCGGGGGAAAAGCAATCCCTAGATTTTCAAAATCACTTTTAGGGTTGATACGATATCAGTTTTACCAGCATGGACTTTTTTTCCTGAACCGTAGATGATCCATCGCTCTTACAAGACGTTATCCCATTGTTTCACCGACGTTTCACCGTTTTTCACCTCGCGTCTACCAGAAGGGTCTTCTAAGAACATCAGTCGTGCATAGTACGAGGCGCGTCCAGAAAGTAAGAACCGGTTGGGTGTAAAAAGTTTTTAAGGAATTAAAAAAAAATATCTCTATTGCAAATGTTGATACTTACATTAAACTACTTCTCCACATAGTCGCCATGTAAATTAAGGCACTTGTCATACTGTTGGACCAGCTTTTCTATGCCTTCATTGAAGAAGGTCGCCGCCAAGCCTTTCAGCCAGTCCTGCACAACGTCTTTGATCTCTTGGCCACTCTTCAGACGCTGGCCACCCAAAAATTTATTGAGGTGTCGGTTGTTAACAAAGGGGTAACGAATGAAGATATCGATTGATTAAGAATCGAAAAACGCACGTACTGGTTAAGGATGTCGAAAGGAAATGGAGAGGGTGGAGGAGTGAAATTCCATTCGTAGTGGTTCAAATCGGGAATGTTTTAGAGCAGAGATGATTTGCAAACTTTTTATTCCGCTCCCCTTAAACCCCCTTACTGTTATGCCCGAGAAATTCTCGGGCTTCTCTGGTAGCGTGTCAGAAAAATTTCGATGAAAGGGTTAACCCCGTAACTAAAGTTCTGGATCCAATGGACCCTGACACAAAAACTTAACCATTTTCTTTCCGTCATTTTCGTAGGCTACACTTCAAACTTGTTAAGTCCGATACTCCGAGAATTTTCATGAAGACATGGGACAGTAATTATGCAACCTATTTTGAAAAGAGGTTCTTTGGGAATGAAGAGATTAGACTTGAAATAAGCAAATAACCATTTGGTTCTGATAGTTACAGGGTTAAGAAAAGACCTTTTCATCGCGATGAACACCGACGGACAAGGGATGGGGGTAATCATCGTTTGCTGATTTAAAACTGTATATTTTGCCGGGGGAAAAGCAATCCCTAGATTTTTAAAATCACTTTTAGGGTTGATACGATATCAGTTTTACCAGCATGGGCTTTTTCTCCTGAACCGTAGATGATCCATCGCCCTTACAAGACGTTATCCCATTGTTTCACCGACGTTTCACCGTTTTTCACCTCGCGTCTACCCCAAGGGTCTTCTAAGAACATCAATGGTGCATAGTATATTGAATGGAACAGGATGCGAATAACTTCAAATCGATACCGAGTTCACGATGACCGGAAGGAATTCAGAGGGATGAACGGTATAAAAAAAAAGGCAATGTGCACTCACGAGGCTCGAAGCGGCGCTCAATTATTTATTTTAAAGAAGCTAAAGCAATACATTTTTTCTCATGTCTTCTTCAGATAGTCGTAAAAGGATTTTTAAAAATAATTTAACATTTGTCGTCTAGGTGGCGAATTACCAGATACCAGGAGGTTCCAAGGAAAAATCCTGGAACTATACGTTGAATAACCTTATACCGAATACCAATTATGAAGTCGCGATAAGGGCCTCTGTCGAGGGAGCAGAATACCCTGATCTCTGGTCAAATTATTCTATGGTGGAAGGCAAAACCATGCCGAAAGGTACGTAGTCCTTCACGTCATCCTGTTTTTCCTCTGCCAGTGTTCCGCCGATTTAGAGCTACATTTATTCATCTGACCCTTTATATGTTGATTTGATAGTTCCAGACAGGAGCCCAGATGTGCCGCTTGGGAGCTTCCACGTAGAGCGGATTAATGACAGCCGCATAAATATCTCCTTTTACTGGGTCCCGTTGAGCGACTGGGAACATTACGGCGACAACTTCACTTACCTGGTGAGATCATCTCTAATAAGATGAATGAATGTGACTTAGTTTAGCATCGGGAGAATATTTAGAAGTTGAAGGCGGTCGTTTTGGCCAAAATTGCGAAGGGCACAATTGGAGAGAAATCATCATTTATCCCCTTGACTTTCCTTCTGAATTACCCTTGCACGTGTTCTCCCGATTGAGAAAGGATTGCGCCCATCGAAAAATTATTTTCTTCACATGGAAGGGCGATGGAAGACTTTTGACTGAAGGCTTTTCGTTCGTACGATGCAGGTAGAAGGTTGGACCTTCTCTTGTGTCGATAATTCGACACAAGAGGTCCAACCCTCAATCGTGACTAACACGTCCGCCGCCTTCGAGTACCTAAGGACTGATTCGGCCTACAAATTCCTTATCGTTTCCAGCAACGAAATGGGAAATTCTCAGGGGCTGTCCATCTTTGAAGTTGACATGGAAAGCAACAGTGAGAGTACTTCGGAATCTGTTCTTTGAAGAATCACTATAACTTTCACTTAGGTAGCTGGTAATTGGGCCTTTCAAAATCCTACCGAAAATAGGAATGCCTTTCCCGGCGATCCAGAGATACGAGCGAATGGTTGACGGAACGTACGTGTTGGAGTGGAGGGCGCTCGAAGAGGAGAAGACGACGAATTTCACCGTATTTTGGTGTCTTTCTACCCCCTACTGGCCTAAGTGTGATTCGGGCATCGACTGGGTATTCGTTTCGAGGAACACCACCACCTTTGAGCTCAAGTCCAACAAATTGCTCAAATTCGCCATCTCAGCCAACAGAGAAAATGGGAGCAGTGGGATGGGCTGGGATCAAATCTTGATGGTTCCAGATTCAGGTGACTTTCTTTTTTCGATTAAACTTCTTTTTTTTTGGGGGGGGGGGGGGGGGAAAAAAAAATTTAAATTCATCTAATATATATAGACGATCGTGACTGACTGAGTGACTGACATATACTAATTCTAACCATGTTCTAGAGAAGCTAGAAATCTAAAACTTGGTACACATGCACCTTTTGGGATTTAGAGTTCAGTAAAAAATCAGACTTTGGAGGTACATGCCCTGGGGGCACCCGTCGATACGCCTTAGTTGGGCCATCACTGGCATATGGTTGGTTTTAACCGGCTCATGATCTGGCATACCCTGTTCGCCCTTCATCATTCACTTTGGCTCATTGTTAGGACCGCACGTGCCCCAACCTAAGCCGACTTTTCATAAAGGTAAAAAGGTATGTGAGGAAAGCCACATAAACTATGTTTTCAGCATTAAGCATGTTTGGCCATTTACACAGGTACACTACTATCGCCAAGAGCTGAGATTATCCCAAGCAACATCCCTTCCGGAAGCTAAAACATCCAAGAGCAGGATAGCATAGGAATGGAAGGTTATCTATACTCTCGCAGAAGCACAGGCATGCCTTCACGTAATAAGATTTTCGATATCTTCATCCAAAGGGAAAATGTCGCGTAGCTTATGATGGAAGGTAGAATCCTCCCACGGACCTCCGGGCCGGAATTTCTCGTCTTATTCCAGGGCCAAGTTACATCTTCAGAGAGATGTTTTGAAGTATTCAATTGTCTTTCTTGGATCTGTGAGAAACCATAGGGAACTGTGTCAAAGGGGCAGGAGACTCACTTTAGAAGAGTCCGGGAAGTGACTCCCTACTACGACCACTTTGGCTCCATCTCACGCCGGTTTTCGGAACCTTCTCAGCCACGTTCACCGAAAATGAGCCATTTTCCCCAGCTATGGCCCGACGATAAACAAATTTTTGAATGGGAAGGTCCATTTTCTACCTCATATTTGGTCTGCAAGTTCCCTTGCCTGCATCTCCATTACCCACGCAAAAAAGTGGCAGGCCCTAGACCTTTAATTTGCCACCGATTCTCATTAAAGGTATTCCTGTGAGACAGATATTCGCAAAGGTACCTTTTATCTCAAGGATGCAAGTAATGAGTGCATGGGACCCATACCAGTGAATGTTTCCGATTCCTTTACAATACTTGATATGTAGGTTTCTTGCAATGGCATTCCTTTAATGAATAAATGCTCTTCGTAAGAGTCTATGATAATGTATGCGATATTGGTAGTGGGCCCCAAAGACCCGACCTTTGGAAATACGTGACCTCATTTCACATTTTTCGTTACAGGGCAGAATCTCCCAGTGGTACTGATAGTGGTCGCTGTCGTTATTGTTGTGATTCTCGGCGTGTCAGCTGTTCTCGGAGGCAAGAGGTCAAATTTCAAGCAATTTATTTCATTTATTTTAGTAGAGCTCCTATAGTTTCCATTCATTACAGTTAAGGACGTTTCCTTCGGACTTTTCAGACTGTGGAGACGCTTTCGTAAGATCGGAAATGTTGAGGTCGCACTGCCATCAGCATTCTCTGACAGTAATCCGAATGTATGTCGTGTCCAAGCACTCATACGAGACCTATATATGTCTAGCGCAAATGAAAATAGCTTCTCTATCTTTCTCTTGATCAGAGAACAGAGGACGAACCAAACGAAGCTGCTCCGCATGAAACTGAGAGCGTTAGGGTGAACACAGCCCTCCCTGTGAGTCACTTTCGATTATATACGAGAGTGGTTCAATACTTACCTGCACTTCCTATTCCAGAAAATCAATAGGGCAGAAAAGAGTCCGAAAACCTAATATGACAAATAGTCCCAATTCTCTGTGATCGACGCCAAGACCGGCAACCATTGCGCATGCTCAATTTAGGGTGAAGCACATGGCGTCTGATGTTGTATCCTTTGTGGTTGAACAGCGTTGTATTGATATAATACAATTTCACGTGAAAGAGAACGTGAAGGCGGTTGATATTTTTCGAAGATTGCAAGCACCGTTGTCTACGGAGATTAAGACTGTCTATCGAGGAAAAGTATATTCGATTGGTGCAATAAATTTCCAGCCATCCAAGAATCCTTGACAGTCCCTTGAGCGGGGCCACCCTCCCGGGACTGCTGTGATTCCTCTGAACATCTGGCGAATTGAACAAAAGATTCGGGAGAATCGTTGCCTTACCGTGCAAGATTTTGCTGCGGAACTAAACACCATCATTGGGAGTGTCGAAAACATTATCCACACTCACTTCAAGCACACTAAGGTGACTGCCAGACCAAGAGAACTGACATTCGACCAGAAGGCTAACCGAGTGACCGTTTTAGCGTCGGACCATCTCAATCGCTACGAGGAAGAAAAATACGACTTCCTCATCCCTCCATTTTGACGAGTGATGAAATTTAAATGTATCACTTAACGCTGGAATCAAAGCGCTCAAGCATGCAATGGTGACATTTTACATCGCCTCCACCGAATAAATTCAGGGCAAAGACAAAGCGTCGAAGCGGTCGCGCACTCGACCGAAAGGATTCTCATGCCTCTGGCATTCAGGCGTTGCCAAAGCGATGGGAAAGGTACGTCCGTGTAGGAGGGAATGCCTCGAGAAGGTTTCATCGAGATCAGATGCACCATAGATTTTATGGAATAAAAAGTGCAGATAGGCAAGGAGCCACCCTCGTACATGAGATGTACCCATATACAAGGTCCTTCTTACGAAGTCCTTTCACTCGGCCCCATTCTCATGAAAATTCCTTCCCGCATTCATTCACAGGCTCTGCATGCGGTCGGGCAGAACCATGACGATGATGGAGAGTATACTAGTACAAATTCCCAAGTCTCAATCGGGGTAAGTTTAGGAGTGATAAGTCATACCAGTATGAGGAAGTTCCGAGCCCATTTAGCAATAAAAGTGATTCCTTTCTCTTCCAAACCAGACGAATTCACTGCCAAACTTGGGGAGTGATGTTTCATCTCCTGTGGGTAATATAATACAGCTTCACAGAATAAGGAACTCAGAAGCAGTAACCGTGGCAGACACACCATTATCATACCTCCAAGCTGGTATAATAGAAAAGGTATCATATTCAACATAGCAGAAGTTTGGATCTACCTTCTCTTGGTCTCACATTAGTGTCAAAATGATCACGAGAAAATAATGAATCATTATATTGCAGGAATCTGTTCCTGGCCCCACTCTTGACAGTCCCACAACCGATGCACGAAGCCCGGTCCAAGCATACAAGAAATTGCCAGATCCTTTGGAAGATCCCGAATATCGCATCGTGAGCTTTGGAGACGTCCGCCTCGCACCCGGTGAACAAGATATCAATTACATCTGCGATGCCCTCGAGGATGAAGGAAATGTATCTGAGGATGATCGTGATGACGACAGCAGGACTTTCGACAGTGATTATAACATGTCCCTTGTGGATGATGAGGAATACATGAAAAAGCTTGGTATCCTCGGGATGGGGACGCGAAGGAAGATGTCAAGCACTGGTTACGTTCAAGCCAGTGGTGAAAGGACGTTGCATCTCGGCATGGACTCCGAACCGGAGACGAGTCCTCGAGAAGAGGGTCGGGGAAAAGAAGAAAGGGAATGGGAGTATGTGCAAACTGCAGTATCTTGTGAGAATCATTGCGTGGAAGCAGGAGCCACGTCGTTAAGCTAATAATGAGACATTTAAATGGAGGTGATGAAGACTATAGCAACATTCCTCCCGATTCTACGTGAGACCCAACTCCCATGACTCGCATGATTTACGCGCAGATTGACTGTACACGATGGCGCATGACATGTCAATAGTCTCAGTTCAAGTGAAGAATTTGTTTTGTATTGCATACACATCATTAAAAAATAATTTTAGAAAATTCTAAGAGTCATCGGAAGCTGAGTTTCCGTCTAGTACGTATGAAAAGGAATTCCAATTTAGAACGGAAACCATGTCTCCCATTTTCTAACGTAGAAATACTCTCTTTAAAAATTTTTTTTTTTAAATTCGACAATTTTTCGTGTATTCCCAGGAGATTTCCCGTCTCGTTCGGGGATTCCTTAATTACGTTCATTATTGGAATACTCCTTGGTACCCTCATTAACGCACGAAAATTGAATGTATGAATACATGCCACTATTCAGTGCATCCATTTGGACGAAAAACGTCTATTACACTCGAAAAAGATGGCAACTTACGCTCACCCCTTTCTCTCTCTTCTCAAAGAGCGAGGACTAGCAACTTGTAAGCATTTTTAAGACATTTTTTCATCCGAGCCGCTGACACCCTGGCCGAGATCATCTCCAGCCGCTGACTGGAGATGATCTCGATAAAGTCGGCGTGCATTGTTTCAAGGCAGTCCTTTTTTGGAACAGGGAGAAGAAGCTGTTGTGCTCCTCCTCTCCCTAGTTTCCTGTTGAGAAATTTATAGGAATTGACTTTCTCACAGGGATTCAAAAGTCCGTATGATAATGTCTTGATTGGTGGGTGTATTTCGAGGGTGAGAGGGAGTTCTCTACAATCCCGGTCAGGAACTAAAATTTTCGAGAAGCTACCCGAAGATGTCATGGAGGAGAGCATCGCTTTATCTTGAGAACAAGCAATCTGCTACGTTGTCGGATTCTTAGGCGTAATATTTCTGAGAAAAAGCGGAAAATTCTGAGGAAAAAATTGAATGGGATTTCCCAGGAAATGTTGCAAAATCTTTTCCATGCACTAGGGGGAATCCGGCTTACATTCATAGTGAGACAGTTTAATGGAAAGTGGTTCAACTGTTCAAAACATGCTCTGCGTGTTAACCGTCTGTTTAGAGTTCTTACTGCAGTCGTATGCTGAAATTAATCGAAACTCTACATGCAAAGGTCTCCTCTAAGTCCATGGTACAGCTTGTAAATCGTCGCCCTCCACTTAACAGTCGTAAGATGCCTTGGAAAAAAAATCCTTTCATAAATAATCACACAAAAGAAATCACGTATCATTATAAGGTTCGTGTGGCCGTGAAGTCACTCCACAACGAAGCCAACCCGAATAACGCAAAAATCACCTGATGATTGAAATATTCATGGGGAAAGTCCAACACAGAGCTTGCTGCATGCGAGATTGTGCCATCTTCCATGAACCACTTGGCATTTAACGGCAGTTCTGTGCTGATGGGCCTGGGCATGAATTCATTTGGCTACATTTTCATATGAGGTGCAAAATCGGTTGTTTCGATGGAAAAAAAGTATTCGACGATGAGACTTGCGATTGCATTTGCATCGAGACGCGCCGTACTTTCACAACTTGCTCCCTGTAGCTAATGTTTTTAATTGTATATTCATCTCGAAGAAATTTTCCTTTATGGGATTTTCTACCCAACCCTACCAATTGGATTACGAGTTCGAAATCACTGAGTGGTACCTTCTCTTCGATGAATCTAAAGACCCGAATGATCTGATCTCCCTGATCAGAAATGATATTATTTTCTATCTCAATTGTGTCGCACCCGTGCAGACGAAGAAAGTAAAAATAAAAAAGAAACTATAATATCGGAACGAAATTCACGTCCCCGAAAAGCGAGATTCAGCGATCTCCACAATCCCCTGGGAGATGGAACTTTAAATTTGCTGGAGTGATTCTGTGCTGAGACAGGAAGAAGTATGCCAAATTTCGTTTCTGTTGATTCTCTCCGAGAGGAACACGAGACGGTTGAATTTTGTCGCCGGAAGGGGTTGAAGAAAGATAATGGCCGCTACCGCGTCCATTCATTCTGTTGGAATTTTCTAGAAAATATTATTCCATGGAAATTCCTACTTTTTTTTTTAGCTCTTATTCAACACGGCAAAAAAATTTTCCTGCAGCTCCTTTCCAAGAAATGTTTACCCTGAAGAATTCGAGCGAGTATAGATGCTAAGATACGACACTGATGTACCTCTGGGTGTGTTTATTTTAGGACGCTAACGATCTCCTTTTGTTAGCTTGCCAATGACGTCACACAACGGGAAGTAATTTGACAGAGCAATAAATATGCCTATGATCCCAGGAGTCTTACCAGATTGGTCAAAACGGATATTGCAAATGAATTCATCATTATCCTATATAACGGAGCACAGCAGGCGCGACCATTGATAAGATATTGTCCGGTCGACATCACATCAACATAGGGCGAGACATCTTGCAAGACATTCGAACAAAGAAGGTTTCCTGGCCCCGAAGTGAGATGGTGACAAATCGCCAACACATATTTACCTAATTTGTGCAACAGGCACGCGTCCCTAATACTTTTGGAGAGGTGCTTCATATTTTCTTCGCTGACGACACTGGGGAAGGTATTTGAATTCCTGAATTCATTTAACGAAAGAGAGAACACAACCCAATGAAACCCACCGTAATTCTGATTCTGGGAACTGATAAAAGAAATTTCACTTGGTGATGTTGATTTGACTTAGTGAGACCACTCTTAGGTTCTGGAAAAAAACCAATGTTAAATCTAATCCTGCAGGTCGCATGGAAGGATCCATGAAATGACCTCCAGCCGTCTTTTCTTTGGCTGCCTATCACTCTGCTGTCTTCTTCCTTCTGCGAGACCGGGATCGCTTTATCTCAGTTCGGTATAGAGTCAATGGTGAGATGGGAGAGAGGCATCTCTAATTTCGATTCTGAAGGGGGCAGATCACGCTGATAATTCAAAGAATATTTTAGTAATCAAATGGCACATGCCCATCCATCCGCAGGCGCATGTTGATTGGCGCATGCGCACTGTATGCTAGGACTTGGTCGAGACCTGCTTCATCTCAGCGTTGAGGCAATGCTGATTCAATGTGGCGATGGATGTTCTTCAACATCGACTCGACATTGTGGCTGTCGAGACCTCAGTGCTGTTACAACGTTGCATCAATATTGCCGTGCAGACTGGGTACTTCCCTTCATCCACCCGCACGTCCAGAATGCGCTTTGGAACGACTCGCGAACTTCGACTTCCACCCCTTCCCCTATCGATTGCTCTCTTTTTTTTTCTCACACTCCTCATTTTGTCACTCTCATCCCTCACCCCTTTTGATTTTATACTTATGTTCATGCGTTCAGCTTTGGTGGGTCCTGTTCAGTTCTGTATATTCTGAGTGTCCTGTCCAATCCTGTGTGTCCTATCCAGTTCTGTTTATTTTTTAACTTATTTTATCTTATTTATATATTTCTGTTTATTTATTTATTCCTCTCTTCACCTTCCGCCTCTTTATGAGAGTATGTGCATTTGTAGCTTTAGAAATCATAAAGAACTCAACGAACCAAATGGTCGTGCAAGAGTGATGGAATAAATATTATTATCATTATTAATATTACTTTTGGATCAGTGCATCTGTACTCTGATTTGATTGAGTAGGTTTCGCTGAGGTAGTTGAGTTGCTGCTGTACGAACTCCGTTCAAATCGGTACGAAGTACGAAGAGTCATGAAGGCGATTCGAATTCAAATTCGATCACCGCTCTGCATTAATTCATACTGATAGAGAATGGAAGAAAACCATTCAGGCTGGATTTAAGATAAGCTTGTGTAAGTTCCGGTTTAGGCAGATGCGCCTTTCTCAAAACGTCTCGTTGCCTTTGAGACACACCGACGTGATAGAGATAAGGGAATTTTCTTTATCGGTGTCACAGACAGCGCTCGAAGCTTGGATGTGTTATTTCTATCCTTGAATCTCCAATCCAGCGACGGTGAGTGTTTCCCTTGTCTTCCCTTCATTTTTGCCAATATTCCTTTATGCTTCCTTTTTCATTTTTTTTATGTTATGAAAGGCAGAGAAGGAGCTGGAGTCGTCGCCCTTTCCTCTTTGTCCTCAGTCTCACATTTCCTCTTTTGCTTGCCCGAATATTGGGTTACAGCATGCCCACTGAGCCCACTGAGGCTCGCGGTCGGCACACTGTCTGAAACCCTAGGAGGGAGGGGGGGGGGTTCGTTCCCGGTTTCTTCCATGGGGCTATCTATCTCATCACCCTGGCGAGAATTCTAAGGAAATCAATAGTCGAATACTGTCTACTGCCGCAATGCAATAAAGGGGAAAGTGAAAATAATTTATAATCTCAAAAGTTACACGCGGCTTTTTAAAGGCCAGTCGACTATGGGGACAAGTATTAAATACATTCCTGCTAAGAAAGGGCCTCCATTGGTGAGGCTTCTCATTACCTTCATTACAGGGAAATTCCTAGAACATTGGCACAACTCTTTAAGCGCGGTGCATAGGACTGATAATCTGACAATTTCTTTATCACTTCTGCCCTCACAATCGATGCGTTGAATTTTGCCCAAGTTATTATGCATAACAAGGGCTTAGGAACGGAACTTTTTTCTTCTGCGTTCCGTTCCGTCCCAGAACATATTTCCGTTCCTTTGCGTTTCCTTCCATTCCACAGGGAAATTTAGCGAAAACAAAAAAATATCATATCCATGATACGCCAGAATATTTCTTCATTCCGAGAAAATGTGGGTCCATTCACCTTCCTCAGATGACTGCATTCCTCGTGATCACATGACCAATGATTTTGAACGTTGCCTCATCAGTGGAAATCACGTCTTGCATAAAGGAGTGCCGCTGGAGCACGATCAGCCCATCTGGACTCTCGCCGGATAATCGACAGCGGATGGTCAGCTGGAGTCTGCAGGGACCAAGGTTACTAAAGGTAGGGAGGCATATTCAGATCTTGCCTCATTATTCTCCTGACACCACTGGAGCTGATTCCAACGACTCGAGCTGTCCTCCGACGAGACAGGCCGGTACCTTCCATCCCTGATGGAGGCAGATGACAGATATCCGAACTGACCACGGGCTCCCTTCGTGCACTTCTCCCCGCGGCAGTTGAACAATATTCTTGGAAATGGTCCCATGTCTTTCTAAATTAACGATACACATTTTGCAAATTAGGCCATGTTAATCATCGCAGACGAATCGGGGAAACAGCTTAATCAAATTACGTAACGTGCAAAACATTTTCAATTAACACTACTGTTGGAAAAATACACTCGTATAATAATAAAAAATTAATAAACTTGAATGGACTGGAATTCGCTAAATATAATTGTACGTTTCCAACTGACTATAGACTTGACACATTCGAGGCGTCAGGGGGAATGCGGTGTTGGGCATTAGCACTCTTCATCACTCCTCGTTTCTTCGCAGTCGTTGTCTCGAAAGCCAGAAACCATGCACCCTGGAGCTCTGGAGTCTTGGCTCGTGAGTTGTCATTTCACAGAACATCATAGAGGGGTTGCAAGCAAGGTCAGCGACATCTAAAATGTGGGGAAAACAATGATTTTAAACTCAAGTTTGTTATTCCAAGAATAACATTTCAAGTCTTATTATATAAATTGAGAAAAGTAAGTGCTACCGTTTCTCTTACCTTCGTGATGTCAGCTGCAAACATTATTGTTTCTAATGTACACTCACTACTATAGTACATGTAAAACAATTTCATAATGATTGGCAGGAATACAGCCAGAAGGAGGAATTGAGGACAGCAATGGACAATTCATCTTCGAAAGTGGGGAAGACATCAAGCTCTTCTGCACTTTGACCGAAGTTGGGTTAAGTGAGGGTCTCACTAGACGTGACCTCAGGTTCAAGACACCCTCTGGTGACGTCGTGAAACCAAACTCTGCGTCGAATAACACTACAGTGTCCTTAATCATCGTTAATGCATCTGCGAATGATTCCGGTCGGTACTATTGCGGGAGCGTTTCCAACGACAATAACTTCTCCACGGTTCACACTCTGTCCTTAAAAATCGGCTGTAAGATTCATTTCTTATTCGACAATTTCTGTCACTTGTGTATGCTAATAAAGTCGTGACAGTTCTCCCGCTGGAGCTGAAATCATGGCGATGTTGGTCGAAGCAGTTGGAGCTACTCCTTTGCACTTGGTCAAAACCAGAGAATCCCGTTTGGACGGATTATTTTTTCTACATTCAGACCGATGGGTACCCGCATTCCATACCATCGATTTCCCCAAAATGGATTTCTGACTGCTATGAGCCTAACGAAATTGATGTGGTGAAAGGATGAAGATGGCAGAATGCCGGCAAAGGAACGCTACAGAAGATGGAAAGGAGATGGAGATATGCGACTTGTCGGGAGGACGCACTCCTCCATATCGCCCTTATGAGACAGATATGAAGATGACAGTGGTTGCCCAAAATTTGCTCGGCAATAGGACCTTCACCTATCCCTTCGATCACTACCGGAACAGTGAGTCTGATCTCTTTACAATTCATATCATTCCGCTAACAAAGAAACGGAAGACGTTCCAAGATAAGGGGCAGAGACTCACAGAACAGGACTTGGAATAATTAAATTTCGTTGTAATGTGCCATTTCCTTTATCTGTTTTTATCTAATAGGGTTTAAAAAAATTATTTTTAACTCATTGAAATAAAAAAAAAAACAGTTAGTCTACATAGCCCCGACCGTTACTAAACTGCTCCACATATGCAGGCTATTCTTTACTTCTGTAACTGCAGCAGTCGTTCCTAAAATGTGAATTTCCACGCTTGGGCTATCGATATTCCCTTTCAGCCAAAATGGCAACTAGACATTCGTTATAAGCGTATCATCTAGCCCATCGAACATCCTTTCTTCTCACCTTGCCGTTCTAACTTCTTTATCACCTTATTTCGACTTTTAATCCCTCCTTCTTGGATAAGCCTGAATTTCTTTACGATAATTTATTTCACTTATAAGAAGTTTGCCAAGAAATTCATGAAATTTATTGAATGCCAAAGATCTAATTTTCGGAGGAAAAACTGTTCGTCTGTAGGTTTTTTATTTTCAGAAAACCTAGAGATCAGATCAATATATTTCAGCTTAAACCAAACAGGGAAGTAAACCATCATGGGACATGGCTGAATGACTGGAATTCAATGAACACCTTGAATTATTGCGTTTTTCTTTCTTTTTTGGGACAAGGAGATTAAGAATCATGTGACATTGCGGCAGAAAAATTTCCTGCACCCCTGTGTCACTTCTTCGGTCTGCTCGGTTTTCAAAAGTTTCATTGTCAACATAATGGTGGAAGCGAATGACGTAAGTGGGGTCAGTACGTTCATCATTGAGTCGGCTTGAAAATAATAGTTGTGGCTGTTTGGTATTTCGGTAAAATAAATTTCTTCGGTAATTGCCAGTCGCAGTCCTGGAACCAAACTTAGTCATCGGTACACGAGTACGAAAAGAACTTCCAGCACTTATCGATGATGCTTCTCAAACTCAGATGTGTCTCGGCTGCACCCCTTCCCTCATCCCTTCATCCCCCCCCTTTCCCCCCCCCCCCCCCCCCCTTTGACTGGGTGTCCTCTCTTTTCCCTCGAGAAAAGAAAGGGATAGTTTTGGTTCCACAGTCCCAGCTTTTCTGAATGCCAAATAACCCTAATGATCATCATTCTGATGCTGCTCGATGTTCATTTGCTGTCACGAATGCAGTTAAGATCGAGGCGTTGGAGGATGTTGCCGTGGGGAAATTAGGCGAAGAGACACTGGAAATCACCTGGGATCTCCCGGCTTTCTTAGATAGCTACAACGTCTCCATCATCCATAATATCCAATGGGTACCCAAGTGGAAGGACGAGCTCCATTTTTCTGGCGTACGTGAACTCGCCCATTACTTTGGTCTGGAAGTGACCTAAGAGGGGATGAGCTGGACTCATTGAATGATGGATGAACCAATTGGTTCCATCGGAACTGAACTTGGGAAGTCAGCAATCCTAACCCCTCCCCTCATGTTGGCATCACACAAGCCTCTTCTGATAGTATTTTTTAAAAATTTATATTCATATTTATATATGCAAATTTTTCTCATGTTTATATCTTATTTTCTTAGCTGTGAGACTCACAAATCGCACATGATTTTTCAGGTTCCATCAACCCTTGTGTAACATATGCTTTCCCTAAACAAATATTCTGTGTTTAATTAGAATATCAGGAGAGGAATACGGAAAACTTTCATTTTTACCACAGTGGAATCTCGCTCCACATTCCGACTGACAAGAATCAAAAGTGATTTCACCTTTGACCTATGCAAGATTGCGAAGAAAGTGCGCAAGGGAGAGTTTCCATGCCTGAATTTCATGACTGTGCTATATCTGCCTCAACCCTTAAGAAGGGGAGACGAAATTAACTCGGAGTTTCAGTATCCCTTCCTGTGTAAGAAGGATAAGGAATACTAGTTGAACTTGATTTTTTTTTAATGTAACGGCGGAAGGAAGCGAGTCCCGAAGGGGTACGTTCACAACTCACATGTAAACATGAAAATCGGAGTCGCTGGAAAAGCGATGAAGACAAGTGCCGAGCTGCGTCGTGCTGGACAATCAGCATCAGGTTTTCAGTGTCTCTGGGCACTACGCTCATTATGGGAAACCCGAAAATCTCAAGGGGGCAAAGGTCATTCGTCGGATGCTTGCCTCTGACAAATCTCAACACGGCAAGCTCAAGGAATACAGGGGGAAGGCTCGGATAGACAGTTTCCAGAATCTATTTCGACAAACAAATTGTTTATTTTAATCTAATATATATAGACGATGGTGACTGACTGACTGACTGCCTGACTGACGCTAATTCTAACCATGTTCTAGACATGATGAGAGGC